TTGACAATAAATTTCATATATAAAAAAAAATAAAAAATAAAAAAAAAATAAACACTGCATTCCTTCTGTTAATCCTTTCTCTTAAACTGCTTTGAATAAGCCTTTAGAAAGGCTTCTGCTACCCCCGTCAATCATTGTAAAGGAAATAAGGTGAAATTATTGTATATTTTTCTTGATTTGAAAGGCAAGTTTCCATACCATTCCACTGCTTCATATGAAAGAGCCATTCTCAAACTGTTTCCTTGATACTTGCACTTTGCTGTCCAAAAAGCATTCCAAATCTAATACATCAAAAGCATAGTTTTTCTTATCTCCCTCACCCCATATCTATTTCTTTTACAGATTATTCCACTTCAACAAACGATACCAACACAATAATGATATTAAAAGGGTAGCACTTATGTATCTCATGCTACCTCAAGGCAGCCCTTACTTCCTTGTTACAGTTGAGAAAAGAGACTAGAGAGAGAAATAACATGCCCAAAGTAACATAACTACTAGGTAGTAATGCTGGCAGCAGTCTGGATCCGGAGTCTAGGCTCTTAGTCACTACACTCTACTGTCTCTCAATTGTCTACCCTAATGTTGAAAAATCCCCAAATCTCACCCTTTATTCTTTCCTTCCCAGTCCTCTTGCTCCCCAGTCACATCCACTCCACCAATAAATCCTGGCAGATTAAGCCGGCATATATTTCTCTCCATCTCCACACTATAGCCTTACAGTCAACCAGTCACTTCTCACTTGCGTGAACGTGCGCCATCCCACCTAGTCTCACTGATTACTCTTGTACCCCCACTCCAGTCCTCTCTCCAGGTAGCTGCCATGTCCACCTTTTAAAACAAATCACATCAGTTCACTCTCCCGCCAAACATCTTCTAATAGTTTCCCATTGCCCTCCACATAAATCCAAAATCCTCACTAAGCTCTGAACACACTGGTGTATTATTTTCTTATTGTTGCTGTAACAAATTGCCACAACCTTAGTGGTTTAAAACAACACAGACTGATTATCTTACAGTTTTCAGGTAAGAAGTCCTAACATCAAGACATCACAAGGGCTGTGTTCCTTCTGGTGGTTTTAGGGGAAAATTTGTGTCCTTGACTTTTCTAGCTTCTAGACACCACCATACTTCCTTGGCTTCTGCTCCCTTTGTCTACCTGCAAATCACAACATTTCAAATATTGCTTCCATCTTCACATCTACTTTTGTGACTTTGACTGCCTTTTTTTCCTCTTATAAGGACTTTTGCAATGACATCTGGCTTGCCTGAATAGGATAATCTCCCTCTCTCAAAAGCCTTCATTTAATCACAGGTGCAAAGTTCCTTTTGTCATGTAGAGTAACATGCTCACAGATGAGGACATGAAAATCTTTGGGAGCCATTATTCTGTCCACCACAACTGGCCTTCCTCATGTCTTGAACTTGGTCATCAAGTTCACCTGGCCTACCTCATGTCATCAGCTTTTAAAGCTTCATTAACACTCTATCACTTTAGCAAGCATTACTGACTACCTTCTGGACATGACTACAATTTTCTTCCTGGCCATAGAGCCCATTATCATCTTCTTTCAGGATAAATCTTGCTTGGTCTAAACTAATTGTGGTAGTCTTGTTCCCCTTGCCAGTGATTATTTAGGAGAGGGTATGCAAAGGGTTCAGCCAAAGAGCTGTAAAGAGAGGGCTGTTTGATGGCTTCTGGGAAAATTTTTTTCTCACTTCTAAGGAGACACCAGAAAAACAGGCCCTTCCTGCCTCTGGGCTGGTTACATTTGGATGTGGTACCTGGAACTGCAGTCATCTCATAATCACAAGGGACTTAGGCTTGAAGTGAAGCCAGTGCTAACGACAGCAGGATGGAGACAGAAAGAACATCAAGATCCAAGATGATTTAGCCACTCAATCGACTAAACCTGAAACCACTCTACTTCTTGTTACTTGTAGCTCAACATCTTTACTGATTAAATCTGTTTTCAAATATATAACAAGTTCTTACAAACCTTGGAAAATATTTTCTTATAAATCTTAGGAAAAAAAGAACTTGTAAGTTCATCCATTTAAAAACTGCCTCTTTCCCTTAAGTAAAAATCCACAAAACTGATATCCAAACATTTAAAAATCTTGAAACAAAAAAACTATCCTAAGTTGGATAGGTGAAAATGATCTCCACTTCTAGCCCCCACAAAGGAGAGGATTAACAATTTAAAGAAACTTTATTTCACAGCACCTGCAATTTTTGGAAGTTCAAAAAGGTTTGGATATAGATAGTAAATCTCCAATTTATTAACAAATTGTACATGGAAAATTTTGAGTGAATTCTTTTGACTTCTGGACACCTCCTGAGCTCTGAGCTGAACAGTCTTAGCTCTGATCCTACATGCCCACCCGACTCTATCCTCATAGTAAAGGAGGGTAGATGGAGTAGAGATGGAAAAGCCAGATACAGTCAGCATAAAGAAAGGTCTCCCGCAACTGGGGCCATTTAAGCAGTTCTTTCATAACTCAATTTTTAAAAAATGGATACTCTGCCCATTTTCTAATTTTAAGAAGCTCTTATAGGGGCACCTGGGTGGCTTAATCGGTTGAACATCTGACTCTTGGTTTCTGCTTGGGTCATGATCCCAGGGTTGTGGGATCAAGTCTCGTGTCAGGCTCCACGCTAAGAGTGGAGCCTGAGATTCTTTCCCTCTCTCCTTCTGCCTCTCTCCCCTGCTTGTGTGCTCTCTCTCATTCTCTCTCTCTGTCTCTCAAATTAAAACAAAAAAGTTCTTATATCAGCAGGAAGCATCAGTTTTAGAAACTGAAACAAAAGTATCAGCATTTCTGCAATTGTATAGTGATTTCCTCCAGGTAATTTATTTGATGGACTTTAGTGAGGTGGTATTTCTCACTCCAACTCCAATCTACTCTGACTCTTATTTCTCAGCACTTACATTATAAATTATGTTAAAAATATAATTAATAAAAAAACCACAAAGCATGTGTCAATATTAAATGGGAATGTTCCTTACATATATAGAAAATTCTGTGCCAATTTATCCAGTAAAAATCAATTCATGTCACAACCCATGAGCTTTATTCTTTTTCCTCAGTATGCTTATTTCTGTAGTTAGCTTCTCTCCCAACTTGCCAGGACTCCGTTCCATATGCTGAGTCTTGATGGGTCCATAAATTCCCTTTTAATTTAGTTAGGTACGAGCCCAACTTTTCTATTCCTGGAATGTGCCTTCGTCACTTAACTGAGCTACAAGAAGCCAAAGTCACACAGTAGCTGTGGCCTGAGTAGGTTGTCCTCCACATGAGGCATCCATATGGCCAAAGCCCTTCCTAATGTTACTAGAGGGTGGGGAAGAATGATTTTTTCTTTCCTTCTTTCTTTCCTTCTTTCTTTCTTTCTTTCTTTCTTTCTTTCTTTCTTTCTTTCTTCCTCTCTCTCTCTCTTTCTTTCTTTCTTTCTTTCTTTCTTTCTTTCTTTCTTTCTTTCTTTCTTTCTTTCTTTCTTTCTTTTTTGCAATCACCATCTTGCTTCTCTTTTTTATGCTTGTTCTCATCCAGAAAGTTGCTTCCTGGGCTCAGTGAGTCATCCAAGGACCTCCTGTCACTCATTCCTTCAACCCTAGCCATCATATACAGATGGCAGAACTACTATATTTACTGTACTATTAATCACAGTGTTATAAAGCTTGAATATTTGTTTTTTCTTGTTTTTCAAAACCAAATTATTTTGCTACAAATAATTCACATATACATCACTTTGGTAGGGTATTTTCGAATTTGTTCTTCCTTGTGCTGCTAAGAATTTTATTAAACACATTGTTCTTAGGTGTAGTTCATAGTGAACACAACAGTTGGTTGCTAAGCATTCTAAATATTTATATTTCTTACGAGATTCATTCTTCCAAAATATAGGAACTGAAAACCAGAGCTATCAGATTATATACCACAAAGAAAACAAAATCTATTTTTCAAAGATTACACAAATTCTATCTTAGTGCTATAATTATAGATGTATGATATTTATACCATAAAGTAATTTTTGAAACTTCTGTTCTAAAAAAGTTAGTTCTCTGGATATTTTACAAGGGCATTTTCTTATCAGTTGTTTTCCAATATTTTCTTTCTCATTTATATAAAGTGGAAGTATACTCCAGCATTTCAAAGATACTCAAAGATACTTCTTCACAAGATACTATCTTTTTGAACTTAAAATTGGTAATTTTAAGAAACAACTTAAAAGTTGTTTCTTCTGGACAGATAAGAGAGAGAGAATGTGAAGAGACAAAAGTTAGAGAATATTTCACATTAAGTTACGTTTAAACAACCAGGGAAACCTTTAATACAAGAATAAGTTAAGTCTCTTACTGAGGGAAAGAAACATTTCATGTATTTAAAAATATTTACAGATCCTTTAATATACAACATATGCCAGAAAAGTACCTGAGAAAAGCAGGAGACCACACTCACACAACTAAATTACTGCCAAAGAGTCACAGAGAACACGTGGTAGGTGTGGGGGAGGATCTTTCTAAAAATTTTACAGGTTGTTCAATGTTCATCTTACATGAGCTTTTCTTTATAGTTGTCAATCTCTGTCACTGCCTTCTGATGTTTTAGACCAAGTGCCTCTACTTGACATTGTAAACCTGAAATGACACAATATATTCATCTGATTAGCACATTCTAAATGTCCAGATATTTTCATAGTGTAAACCATATTCTTTGAGAATTGCCACTCAGCTCCTGCAGCATACTGCCGCTGTTTACTCCACTTTGCCTGGGTATGCAGCTCATCTCTTCTCTGAAACCCCACGGAATTAATAGTTTTTGACAGAGCCAATTTATTGGCCTCTTTCTGCCCCCATCATCTTGCTAATTTTCAAACACCCAATGGCCTAAATTTTACTGATGTTTTGAAAGGAAATGTATGTAGCTGACACACATATGTTGATGTGATCATGTGGCTCATCTCTGAAACACGTGACTGCCTGAGCTTGCTTTTGTGGTCTGGAACTGAGAAGTATCGCTGAGGCCTCCTGGCAGAACTGAAATAGACAAACCATGTGCATTGCTCCCGGTAAAGAATTTGTTAACTCTGGGTAGCATCTAATAGGCATTTTAATGACTTTCAAAGCCAAGATATACAAGCAGGAAATTGGCTTCCATAGTCTGGGGAATTCAAGCAGCGTTTGAGGAAGATTATTCACACAGCGGTGTCTAACGTGTGTGGATGCAGAACTGAAACTAAAGCAGAAAGAATAAATGGCTTGCATGAAGTGGGTCTTGCCATTAGCCTGTGTGTGGGAACTATGATCTGAACCCCCGATGCAATGACAGCCCTTGTCGGCACTCTTTTTGAGTAGGGTAGAAAACACACTGACACAAATGGACTAACTGGTTTCTATGGAGAAGATAATTTAGCACACTGGAATTATAAAATTTCTATGTTATAGCTGCTCAGATGTTTTAATAACATATTTTTAATAGTAAACTTTAAAATCTTTATGCATCCATACATTTCTCTATATATCCTCAATCTGCCTTCTTAACTTTGTTTTATGAAGAAAAGCTTAAAGCAGAAAACAAATTCACGCTAAATGAATGTTTTAATTAAGTATTTTCCAGACATGAGTATAAATCTTCATGTTTATCCAGTACTTTCACATACATTATTTAATTTTATCTCTCAAACTTCTCTCTGGTGCAATAAGCCCCATTTTTCAAATGAGAATAAAAGGAAAGCTTCTCTGATTCTCTTGCTTGGTATCTTCCAATGAATAAATGCATTAGCCAACAGTTTAGACTGAAGGTTTTTAACTCAGCCTAAGTGATCAATTTGAGAGGATAACCCCTCGAAGTAAGATTTAATATGGACTTACATGGTAGATAATATTTGTGGGGTACATCTTTCCCAGTGATTGAGTGATATGAAGGAAAAGATAACATACAGATAATTTATTTTTGAGTACAACCTTCTGGAACAAAGCAATTTCTCATGAATGTTACACAATGTATTGCTTTGTTATTAAGTCCATATGGATTTGCAGAGAGGTTCTATTCACAACAACACAGCCAAAAGATTTCAACCAAATCCTCTGAAGAATAAGGAGGGAGGGAGGTTAATGTTTGTTGATACGCACTATGTGGCACTAGGAAAAATGCTTTCTCCCATATCATTTCATTCATAGTCACAGCTACCATGAAAAACAGGTACGCATTTTATTTCTACCAGTGAAGACTCTAAGGACCTGAGTAACTAACTTATCAAAGGTCACATAACTAGTTAGAAGTGATCCTGTGATTCAAACTCAGGTTGAACTCATCCCAAAGTCCTTATCTTTCTAACTCTCCTACATGGACTCTAAAACTATAAAAGCTGCAAGGGGATATGATATTTGTTCATGAAAGTACGGCTAGTGTAGCTATAGATCTATTTAACATATCTAAGAATCTTCCAAGAGAGATATTTAACAAATGAAAAGTATTATTTTGCATAAAATACATAGTAAATTAGTAGAATATCTAACCCCAGGAGGTGGTTTAGATTTAATTTTTTTTTAATTTTTTTTAACGTTTATTTATTTTTGAGACAGAGAGAGACAGAGCATGAACGGGGGAGGGGCAGAGAGAGAGGGAGACACAGAACCGGAAGCAAGCTCCAGGCTCTGAGCCATCAGCCCAGAGCCCGACGCGGGGCTCGAACTCCCGGACCGCGAGATCGTGACCTAAGCTGAAGTCGGACGCTTAACCGACTGAGCCACCCAGGCGCCCCAGATTTAATTTTTGAAAATTCAAAATTTAATATAATTAATGAAAGATATTAAGACAAATATGGTATCATTGTGACCAATTTTATGTGTCTGACACCAGAGAGAACTATTATGCCTTCTTATTAATGTCCTTTGGTGCTTCTGTCAGGACATAAACTAGATAAAGCATGGATCTGAGCCCATCTAATAAACTTCATGCTATCACTCCTAAGTACAGCTATTATTAAGAGGAAGAATTGATTATCTTGAAAACAAACTCCAGGTAATTGGTATAGATATGTGAATTTTATCCAGTTCTCAATTACCTGCTAATTAGTAGAACAGTAGATAGTAAAAATGACAGCATGTTTACAGCACCGGAAAGTATTCTTAAGATTACATTTGAATATACTTGTGCATCATAGTTCCAGAATTTACTAAGTTTAAGGGAAAATAAACTACAGTCATGACCCACTATACTTTCCAGTATTATTTTCTCTGCATACCCACCCGAATCTCCCTTTCTCCCTGTTTCAAGATAAGCATAGACAGCTTAGTCTAATTCACAGTGCCTGATGAGCAAAGAAGCCACTTCCTTTAGACAATTTACTATGTATTTACAGCATCTTTGAGTCAAAACAGGGAAAAGAAATAAACATTTTACTCTACAACACAGAAACTATAGAAGGTTGCCATGTGAAGTAAGTAGTAACAGAAAATACAAGTAGTGTCAACAAAGAAATCACTTTATATAAACAGAGAAGATACACATAGAATTGAGGAAAGAAAAGGATTCATTATGAATAATCCATAATGTAAACAGACCAGCAGTGTATAATTAAGAGTTAATATATTTTCATGGATGTTTTTTGTTGTTATTGTTGTTGCTTGGTTTTTACTTTTGGTTACATTTTCTCTAATAAAGAAGTTCTAAGAATAATTTTGAAAACGCACAGAACCTGTCTTCACTGTTCTGAATGAGAAATAAACATACTATTAGTTTATTATTGGTTCTGGTAGACTAGTAGGGTTGTTTTGTTTTTGGAAGCAGAGTCCCCAGTTCCTGTCCTTAATAAAGGAGCACAGTTAGGATAAGAACCAGAAAGATTAAGCCACCTGCACAAGACCGCTCCTTCAGTTCCTGAGGCAAGGAGTTCTTAAATAAGTGTATTGTTCTGTGCAGTCCTTCTCTATAGTGAAATAAATTCAACTTCAATTTTCTGTCATTCAGCATGACATTGGATTATGAGGCAAAAGGCCCTAAATGCCTACAAAAAGAAAGGAAGCATTGGCTTTAAACACCATGCAGATGTAAGGCGGAACCCATGGAAACAATCCAAAATTTACAACAGCAAATTCTACTATGATGTGACTGCATTCTTTAGAGATATTAAATAAGAAGCAAATGATTTTAAATGAACAAGACAAAAAAGAGCTCTTAGCCTCTCTTCATACGAAGCCAGCTGCTTGCTGGATAGCATTACACAGGCATCAGATTTGGGGTAATTAGTCATTTAAGAGAATGCTGTTATTCCAAAAGGTTTCTAGAAACTACAAATACAAAAGGTATTCATAGTTATTTTATAGAAGGATAGAAAACATTACAGTCACTTGGGAGAGTATATTCAGTATAATGTTTGAGAAAACAATAAATAGAAACTTCATAGTGGAAAGATATTTCAAGTTTAAAGCTTTCTGGATAAATACAAAAAAAAAAAAATCTGGTTCAAAGTGGAGGAAACTGAGTTTAGGTTCAAGAAGCAGAATGACATGGTGCCTGGGTGGCTCAGCCAGTTAAGCATCCAACTTTGGCTCAGGTCATGATCTCACGGTTTGTGGGTTCAAGCCCCGAGATGGGCTCTGTGCTGACAGCTTGGAGCCTGGAGCTTGGAGCCTGCTTCGGATTCTGTATCTCCTTCTCTCTCTGCCCCTCCCCCACTTGTGTTCTGTCTCTCTCTGTCTCTCAAAAATAAATAAATGAAGAAAAGAAGAAGAGGAAGAGAAAAAAGAAGAAAAATGAAAAAAACAAATAAGCAGAATTGGCCCCCAGAGATCCAGATCTAGGGGAATTTTTTTTAACGAGAAATTGAAGGCTGTGTAATTTTTTTTTTTAAATGGTAGAGATAACTGAAGGAAAGGAAAAACAGAAGTTTATCATTGTTTATACACTCTTTTGATAGGGTAACATAAAAGTGTAGAGCATGACCTCTAAAGCCAGACTGCCTATTTTCAAATCCTGGCTCTGTTTCTATGAGCTGTGTGACTTTAGGTACTTTAGTTTCCTTACCTAGAAAACAGTTACTGCAGCACAGGAGTGAGAATTAAGGCTTAATTAATATATGTAAACAGGAGAACAGTAGCAGGCACATAGTGAGCACTCCTGAACTGCTATCTCTTATCATTGGTGGTACCAGTGAGACCATCTGGCCCCCAACCTCACTTCCACTCTGAATCTCATCACTTTTCACCTTGAGGACCTTGTCCTTGCAGGTGTCATCAGTGCTTATCCTTGGATGGAGAAGGGTAAAAATGAAGGTTTTATAACAACCTACAGAGTTACTACGGCCATATGTTAAAACTTGTTAAATGTGGGTGACAGATTCACTCACATTTGTTATATTATTCTCTGTATTTTTGTTTGACATATGTAATGTTACTTATACATATAAATATATATAATTTAAATATTTTAAAAATATAACATTTAAATATTTGTATAAATATAAATATATATATAATCTATATAGTGCTGTTATATTATTCTCTGTTTTTTTTCTGTTTGACATACATAATGTCATTTATATATGTAATGTATATGTATATGTATATGTATATATATA